TCCGGTTCACTCCTGTTAACTCCGGTTGGATCCGGCTCAATCCAGTTCAATCTAGTTCTATCCAGCTGTTGATTTCTGTCTCATCCGGTTCGATCTGGTCAGATCCACTTCAGCCCGGTTCAATCCTGTGCATTCTGGTTCAATCAGATAAAAATAAGTAGTCCAGTCCAGTTCACTCCAGTTTAATCCACTTCACTCCTGTTTATTCCAGTCCAATCCGGCTCAATCTGGTCTCATCTCGTTCAACCCTGTTTATTTTGACTCAATCCGGTTCACCCCCGTTCAGTCCGGCTCAATCTGCTTCAATCCAATTAAATCAAGTTCTCTCCAGTCTGATCCGGTTCAATCTGGTCCAATCAAGTTCAGTCCGGTTCAATCTTATGCATTCTGGTTCAATCCGATAAAAATAAATAGTTCAATCCGGTTCAATCCTGTTTATTCGGGTCCAATTCTGTTCAATCTGCTCCAATCCGGTTAAATCAAGTTCTATCCAGCTCAGTCCGGCTCAATCCGGTTCAATCACGTTCAACCGAGTTCTATCCGGTGGTTTATTTAAATTCAATCCGGTTCAATCTGGTCAAACCCAGTTCCGTCCAGTTCAATCCAACTCAAACTGGTCGCGTCTAGTCCAACGTGGCTCAATCTAGTCTAATCCAGTCGAATCCGCTTCAATCCTGTTTATTCCAGTTCAAACCACCTCGATCCGGTTCAATCTGCTCTGGTCTCGTTCCATCCGGTTCAGTCCGGTTCCATCCAGTTTATTCCGGTTGAATACAATAAAAAACAAAAGTCCAGTCCGGTTCAGTTTGGTTCTATCTGCTTTATTCCGGTTGAATCCGGTTCAATCCGGTTCTGTCTCGTCCCATGTTGTGCAAATCCGGTTTCTGTCGACTCCAGTCCGGTTAAATCAAGTTCTATCCAGTTCATTCCGGTTCGTTCTGTTCAATGCCGTTCACTCCGGTTCCGGTTCATTCCAGTTCCGTCCAATCAGGTTCAATCCGATTAAATCAAGCTCCAGGCAGTTCAATCCGGTTCCATCCGGTCTGATCGAGTTCTATCCAGTCCCGCCAGGTTCGATACAGTTTATTCCAGTTCAAAGCGGTTCGGTCTCTGGTCCAACGCGGTCTCATCCGGTTAAATCGAGATTCATCCAGTTCAACCCGGTTTAGTCGCGTTCAATCCTGTTTATTCCAGTTCAGTCCAGTTAAATAAATTAAATCAAGTTCTTTCCGGTTCAATCCAGTCAAACGCTGTTCAATCCGGTTCGACCGGGTTTAAACCAGTTCAACGCAGTCTAATCGAGTTTAATCCAGTTCCATCCGGTTCAACCTTGTTCAATCCGGTTGCTCAACCCGGTTCAATCCAGTTTAACTCAGTTCAACGCAGTCTAATCGAGTTTAATCCAGTTCCATCCGGTTCCATCCAGTTCAGTCCAGTGAAATAAATTAAATCAAGTTCTTTCCGGTTCAATCCAGTCAAACGCTGTTCAACCCGGTTCGATCCGGTTCAATCCGGTCCAGCGCAGTTGAGCGTGGCCCGTGCAGTCCCATCCAGTCCAACCCGGTTAAATCAGTTCCATCCAGTTGTTCAATCCGGTTCCATCTGGTTCAACCCGGTTCAACTCAGTTCAACGCTGTCTAATCAAGTTCCATCCGGCTCCATCCGGTTCAGGCCTGGTGATTTCAGTTCAAGTTTCATCAACTTTAACCCGGTTCAATCCGGTTCAATCCGGCTTAAGTCAGTTCATCGCAGTTTAATCAAGTTTAATCAAGTTTAATCCAGTTGAATCCCGTTCAATCCGGTTCAGTCAGGTTCAGTCCTGTTGATTTCAGTTCAAATTTCATCAACTTTAACCCCGTTCAATCCGGTTCAATCCGGTTTCATTCAGTTCAACGCAGCCTAATCAAGTTTAACACAGTTTAATCAAGTCTAATCCGGTTCAATCCGGTTCAATCCGGTTTCATTCAGTTCAACGCAGTCTAATCAACTTTAACCCCGTTCAATCCGGTTCAATCCGGTTTAATTCAGTTCAACGACATTATACCAACTTAACGCAGTTCAATCCCGTTCAATCCGGTTCAATCCCGTTCAATCCGGTTCAAGTCAGCTCAATGCACTCTAATCAACTTTAACACAGTTTAATCCGGTTCAATCTGGTTCCGTCCGGCTCCATCCGGTTCCGGTCCATTCGCGTCCCGTCCGCTCGGAACCGGTTCGATCCGGAACCCGACGCCCGCTATACGCGCGTGGTGGAGTGTCCGTGGGGCGGCCCCGAGCCCGCGGGGGCGGAGCCGGAGCCCGAGGCCGCCGCGAACCCGTTGAACCCGGCGGCGAGCGAGCCCGGGATCATCGTGATGGCCGCGCCGGGGGGCGGGGCCCCGGATCCGGCGGCGAGCGGGACGTCGTCGGGCGCGCGGCGCAGCGTCAGCGCGTAGTCGGGCGGGCACGCCAGGCCGGGGGCGGCGCCCGCGGGACCGGAAGTCCCGCCCCCGAAACCGGAAGTGCCTCCGAGAGGCCCCCCGGACGCGGGACACGGTCCCCCCGGACCGGAAGTGGCTCCCCCGAAACCGGAAGTGGTCGGATTAAAACCGGAAGTGGATGGATTGAAACCGGAAGTGGATGGGTTGAAACCGGAAGTGGCTCCCCGAGGTCCTCCGGGAACGGAAGTGGCCGTATTGAAACCGGAAGTGGCCGTATTGAAACCGGAAGTGGCCGTATTGAAACCGGAAGTGGCCGTATTGAAACCGGAA